GCGCCACCACTCCCAGACGTGAGTCAATCGTGGCGAGGCCAACCGAGGGCAATGGCCCCGTAGCTGCATCGCGATCGGCGATGGAGGGAGCTGGAACCGTGATCGTCGGTGGAGTATTGGCAGAAGCATGTCCGTGGCAGGGGGGGGGGGTGCAAATGCAGATACTGCCCCCCGATAAGTTTAGTTGGATGCTGTGTGTAACATTGAAAGTGAGTATTTGGTGACTCCTGATGTGTTTCCGTCTGAGATGCTTTCAGTATCTGTCCTTCCGTACTCGCACGTCCGATTAGCACGGTTGGCTACGTACGGTGCGAAAGAAGTTCAACACACATACGTAGAATATTCTGCAATGAGCATTCAACGTGGGTGCAACATCGTTTGTTTCCCGACAGTCGGGCGACTTTCTCAAGGCGCGAGCAAACCAACACAACTCCCGCGCACGTTCGTCAACTTCTCATTCGCCCTCGAGGAGAGATTTGCGTCAATTTCTTTGCGACGTTGACGGGAAAATGCCCCTTGTGATCCGCGAAGCAGCGGGGCCTGCGTTTGACGCACCCCCGATGTGCGCGGCCAGCTACGTACGGCGCGAAAGAAGTTCAACAGACATACACACACACGCCGACGAACGCGTGAGAGTTTTTGCTGCTGTTGTTGTTGCCGTGACGCTGAATCACGCTGCGCCCCCGTGCGCGTCTGGACGCGCCACGACGCACTTCACGGCGCCGCTGTGGCAGCGGCCGCGACACCGCCGAGAGCGGGCGGAGTGACGCGAAGGTCGTCACGAGCTGCTGGGCCGCGTTAGGCCGAGTTACGAAGATGAGACCTGAGCAGGTGCCTCATATCATGCATTTATGCAGAGCATCGGTGTTTACCGGGCCGCGCCGCGCGCCGCGGGGACCCTCTTCATTATTGATACGTCGAATATGGTTTCTGGACCGCGCTCTTTCTCCCTCCCCAGGAGCGTCCGCGTGAAAGGCTTCCCCGCTCCCAGGGCCGCTCGGCTCTCCTCCGAGACGGCGCGACTCTCTCCGCCACCCCCGCCCCTCCTTCTACTACTCTCCGCGCCGCTTCAATCTTTCTTAAATCAAAATCAACGGGGGCAAATCTATCCCGAAGCTTAGGACGTGTGTGCGCGCGCGTGTTTTTTTCCTATCTGTCCTTTCACTTTGTACTTATTTTGTTCTTATTATAATAGTAATAATATTACATGGGGTTTTTTGGGGGGGGAACTGGAATTTATTTTTTGCTGTCCTTTTTATTGCCCGCGCCCCCGCTCGGCGTCGCTTGCGTACGGGGCTAATAGTCTGAAAAGTTGAAACGTTATGAATTTTGGTCGTAGCCAGCGCATATGCAATAACGCATTTGTCAGAATCAAATGATGTCCATCACACGGTAGTAGCAGAGCGCGTGCGAGCGCTTCTGCGGCTTTTTATTGTTTCATATCGGATCATTCGCGGTTGAGGGATAGCATCCAGTGTTTGTTTTAATATTGAGAAGGAAATAAGCCCTATTACTGTTTGGGGGAAACGGAGCCCCAACACAATATGAGTGTTTATCTGTGTTGTGTGTGTCTTTGTATTTGTGTGTGTGTGTTCGTGTGTGTGTGCGGTAGTGTAGCGGTTATGGCACTGCACTACGAACCTGGCGACCAGGATTCGATTCCCGCTCTCAGGAATCGAATCCTGGGCCTCCTCTAGGTCGACTCAGCCTTAAATTAATACCTGGTACGATGTGTAAACATCGCCACTGGGGAGGCAAAGGCAGCCGGGCGTGGTGCTGGCTACCCACCCCCTCGTGTGCCGTACCGGCCTTCATAGGTGCTCGCTAACAGCACTTGCCCCAACAATTTGTTAAGGCTACACGGGGGGATCTTTGTTTTGTGTGTTTCATATTTACTGGGGTAGAGCGGTGAGTATCGTTATGAACCAGATTAACCGAGTTCGATTCGGATAAATATCAGTGGGAAATATTCGAACCGGTCCTGCTCCCCAACCCTCCCCCCTTCCTTTTTTAGCCAACCCGCAACTTGCACTGACAGGCATGGTGAAGTATGGCCGAAGAACCCCCATGACCGACGCGGTGTGTGGAGGGGCCTTCATCCACTCGTCGATTGAGAATGGCTGGGACACAACTTTTTTGTAATAGCGTCGACTAAACGAACAGAGAAATCTGCGTATTTCATGAACGTTAGCTTAAGTAAATACGAATAAAAACACACAACAACAAAAACTCCTCAAAATGCGATTGTTCATCACCGGTCTGGCATTTTGGCCAGATGGCTCCGGCAGTAACAGGTGGCTGCGTGTCGCCTTCTCCCTTGTGCGCAAGTAGACACTGAATCGTGCGCGATGTGACTTCGCCGTTCATCAACTCGTACCTGTTCGTGTCGTACTGCCTCGTTGTCAATTGTGGCCTGTTGTTTATTTTCTTTTTTTTAGTCTTCTATTTGTTGACGCTGGGAAAGAAACATTCTGCCGCGAGCGGTTTTGCAAGAATGACCCACAGACGACCTTGATGGTGGAGAGGGAGAAACTTTCAGAATTAAAATCTGAAGGAAAAAAACACATTATTACTTTAAATAATCACAAGCGACACGTGAAATTCTCATCACGCAATAATTTCAAATTCCATCCGAGTAATGCCTCCGTTTTTTGCCTTCTCACAAACAACACAACCGATCGTCCCGAGGAGCGTGACTACTCGACATAGAGCACCAGCGATCGTCTTGTGTTCCACTCGACAAAAGATGGTGAAAGTCGCACAAAGGAGCAGGGAGAGGTACTTTCTTGGGAGATAGGCAGAAGGACACGTGGAGGAGAGAACTTACGCAAGCCAGAGACGTCATAGTGGCCGTTTCTAAAACAAATAAGTGCCCTGGGCCAGGAGACGTCGCCGGTGGTCGAGACTAACAATGGGGTGGCAGGCAAAGGAGGCAACACGCCCGAGTTGAGCGATCAAATTAGCTCGTTGGTCGGTGGCCGGGATTCGAACTAAAACAGCTAGTGCGGTTCGCAGCGTAGTGCCCTAACCACTGCGCCACCGCTCGTTGACCACGCTCTCCGATTTTTCCCGCACCTCCGATTAACGCCGTTGGCTACGTACGGTGTGAAAGAAGTTCAACATACATACGAGCGCGGATTCTGGATGGATCGTTGTGTCGCGAGACCGTGAGCGACGGCGCGTGGATGCCTTCGTCCAGCAGTGAATAGATCATGGCAGATGAACATGATACAATCTATTTGCAGGTTGGACTTTGTGCCTGCGACTTCCAATAGGAGGGCCTCTTTGTGCCAGTGGACATCTGCCACTGAGTTCATGGTGGTGGATGTGGCAGCGCAAGCGTTGATGGTGGTGGTGGCTGATTTAGCATCACCACCCTTGACGTAGACAACACGTACAGTAGTGGAATATCTCACAACACCGGAGGAGAGAGAAGAACCTATTTATAATTATTAAGAATTTTTATTTTACCAGGTATGGCCCACTGAGCTCCAAAGCTCTTTTTCAGAAGCTATATGACGGCAAATAACATTATTATTATTACTAAACAACCGATAAAGGCTGGGAATTTTTTATGTCCCAGGTAGACTGACAGATGTCCTAGGATCTCAGCTTCCTCTTCAACCAGAGGCCAATCGTGGGAAAACCCGGGCAGGTGGCAACCGTTGTTAGTTGTCATGGTCTTCACGGCGGTGATGGTAGCGTCGGTGTTGGCTTCTTTGGCACTGAAGGCAATGGACCATCAAAGGCAAGGATGCCCTGCATCGCATCTATTTATATATATAACAGACTTGTTGGGAGGGCAGGCGCTGTTGGCGAGATTCTATGAAGGTCGGCACTGCACACGAAGCGGTGGGTGTGACCAACACAACTCACAGCCGCCTTTGTCTCACTAGTGGCGATGTTTACGCACCAGGTAATCATTCAAAAGCTGAGTGGGCCTAACGGAGCGCCCGGGACCGCTTCAAATGTCCGCCGCTGTTATTTGGTGGCGAGCGGGAATCAAAGTCTGGGTCGCCGCCTTCTCTGTAGCGCAGTGCGCTAACCACTGCACTCCGGCTGCCTCCACAATCATGGCAATGGACCATCACAAAGACAAAGATTCCACCCCCCCTCCCCCGCATAGCCTCAGCAGACTGTTGAGGCAAGTATACCGCTGGCGAACACCTCTGAAGGCCAACAGCACACGAGGGGGCGGATGGCCAACACCACGCCGGGCCGCCTTTGTCTCCCCAATGATGGACCATCACGCGCGCGGCTGACTGCGGCGTAGCCGGCTCGGCGGGGCTGACTCGGGCCGAGTGAAAACAAGTGTTGTGGGGCACGGCTGTGTTGTCTGGGACAACGGAGCGTCGTGCCGGGCACCGTGGGGGTGCAGTCTCATCTGGCGAGGCGGCAGCAGCAGCGCTCTTTAATTGGCCTCAGCAGCAAACAGCATGGGAGTGGAGCGCGGGCCAAGCCGGATTGTGCTCCTCATTAAGACGTGAAAAAGATTTGCCCGCAGCAATAATCTGATGGCTTTGTCATTGTGCACTGGCGCAGAGCAACGAGCGATCATTCCCGCTCCCTCCCGCTCGCCTTCTTTCCCCTACGCCTTTCCCTCTCTCCCCATCTTGTCTATCTCCCCCCCCCCCCCCCCATCTATATCACCCCCCCCCCCCCCGCGCCTCGTGTCTCTATCTCGCGGTGCTCATTGCGGGGGAAGGGGTGTAAAGGGTATCGGAGGGGGGGTAGGCGAGGTTCTTTGAAAACGAACAGGCACGCCACCGCGTTGGGAGCGTATCTGCGTCACTATTAATTACCCCTTTAATTCCCGATTCCTGCGTGAGGAGGCCGTGCCGAGGGGCTGCCCCCACCCCCCACACACTTCTTCCCACCCAGCCCCCTCCCTCCCTTCCCCTCGACCCAGTCCCCAGGGGACGGTTGTCTGAGTTGTCTCTCATCTCACTCGTGGCCTCCCCTGTCCGCTCAGGCCGAGACCTGTGTGTCTTAATCCCTCACCACCACCAACACCACCACCACCACCAACACCACCAACACCAACACCACCACCACCAACACCACCAACACCACCACCACCACCAACAGCACAACCACCACCACCAACACCACCAACACCACCACCAACACCACCACCACCAACACCACCACCACCAACACCACCACCACCAACACCACCACCAACACCACCACCAACAACACCAACACCACCACCACCACCAACACCACCACCACCAACAACACCAACACCACCAACACCACCACCACCACCAACAACACCAACACCACCACCACCAACACCACCACCAACACCACCACCACCACCAGCACCACCACCAACACCACCAACACCACCAACACCACCACCACCACCAACAGCACAACCACCACCACCAACACCACCAACACCACCACCAACACCACCACCACCACCAACACCACCACCACCAACACCACCACCACCACCAACACCACCACCAACACCACCACCAACAACACCAACACCACCACCACCAACACCACCACCACCAACAACACCAACACCACCAACACCACCACCACCACCACCAACAACACCAACACCACCACCACCAACACCACCACCAACACCACCACCAACACCACCACCAACACCACCACCACCAACACCAACACCACCACCACCACCAACACCACCAACACCACCACCAACACCACCACCACCAACACCACCACCACCACCACCAACACCAACACCACCAACACCACCAACACCACCAACACCAACACCACCACCACCACCAACACCACCACCACCAACACCACCACCACCACCAACACCACCACCAACACCAACACCACCAACACCACCAACACCACCAACACCAACACCACCAACACCACCAACACCACCAACACCACCACCAACACCACCACCACCAACACCACCACCACCAACACCACCACCAACACCACCACCACCACCAACACCACCACCACCAACACCACCACCACCACCAACACCACCACCACCACCAACACCACGACCACCACCAACACCACCAACACCAACACCACCACCACCACCACCGCCAACACCACGGCCGCCACCACCACCACCACCACGGCCGCCACCACCACCACCACCACCGCCACCACCACGGCCGCCAACACCACCACGGCCGCCACCACCACCACCACCAACACCGCCACCACCACCACCGCCAACACCCCGCTTTACCCAACGCACGCGTGCGCAGTCGCCCTCAGGCGTGCGCGCTCACAACTCCCTCACTTTGCGCTCCTCACAAACGCGCGCACTCTTGTGGGGGCAGCCTCACCGGCTCACCCCTCGTTCGTTCGCTCGCTCCCCAGGTCACCCCTCACTCACTCGCTCGCTCGCTCACCAGCTCACCCCTCGTTCGTTCGCTCGCTCACCAGCTCACCAGCTCACTCGCTCGCTCGCTCGCTCACCAGCTCACTCGCTCACCAGCTCACCAGCTCACCCCTCACTCGTTCGCTCGCTCACCAGCTCACCCCTCACTCGCTCGCTCGCTCACCAGCTCACCCCTCACTCGCTCGCTCGCTCACCAGCTCACCCCTCGCTCGCTCGCTCACCAGCTCACCCCTCACTCGCTCGCTCACCAGCTCACCCCTCACTCGCTCGCTCGCTCACCAGCTCACCCCTCACTCGCTCGCTCACCAGCTCACCCCTCACTCGCTCGCTCGCTCACCAGCTCACCCCTCACTCGCTCGCGTCGCTCACCAGCTCACCCCTCACTCGCTCGCTCTCGCTCGCGGTGCCCGAGCCAGTGGGCCGTGCCGCGCACCACCGCTGAGTCGATTTCGTGCCCCCCGCGGCGCAGCTGCGGTGGGGGGCTGGGGGAGGGGCAGTGGTGCCGGGATTAAGAGCGCGCACCGGGGTCTGTAACAAGTGTTGACAGAGGCTCCTCCGCGTGGCCTTGGCCCAGAGCTGTGCGCCAAGGCGGAGTCTCGGGCTGCTGGGAATGGGATGGGGGGGGGGGGGGGGCAGACAGGCGGCTCCTCGTTAGGGGACAGGGAGAGAGAGTTGTGGGGGAGGGGGGGGGGCTCGTGCAGCTGCGGGGACGTGGAGCGGCGATGACCACTGGGATGGTGGTGGCAGCTGCACTCGGCCTGCGCCTGCAATTATCACCCTGCGCGGAGTTTGGGACCTGTTTATCAGCGTGATCGTCCTGCGGGCTCTTGACATCCCTTCCTTTTTTTGATAAACACAAAAAAAAACTGTAGCGAATTTCTGGTGGAGATGACGGCGACGACGAGGATGGGGAGATGCGATCCTCGTCCTCCTCCTCGTCGGCGCCGTTGATTGGCGGCGATGCGGTTCACGCTGACCGCGTGGGTCACGTGAATCTGAGAGGTTTATGAATTTAACGCCAGAGGTTCGACGAGGATTAAAAAAACAGAAATAATCAAGGTCGTTTTTTTCCCAAAACGCTAAGTGGGTGGGTGGGCTGCTTGGTGAGTTAGTGGGCGTGTGGGGAGTGTGACCTGCAGTATGATGGGTGGGTGGGTTGGTTGGTGAGTTAGTGGGCATGTGGGGAGTGTGTTGATGTGACCTGCAGTGTGATGGGTGGGTGGGTGGGCTGGTTGGTGAGTCAGTGGGCATCTGGGGAGTGTGTTGATGTGACCTGCAGTGTGATGGGTGGGTGGGCTGGTTGGTGAGTTAGTGGGCGTGTGGGGAGTGTGACCAGCAGTGTGATGGGTGGGTGGGTTGGTTGGTGAGTCAGTGGGAATGTGGGGAGTGTGTTGATGTGACCTGCAGTGTGATGGGTGGGTGGGCTGGTTGGTGAGTTAGTGGGCATGTGGGGAGTGTGTTGTTGTGATCTGCAGTGTGATGGGTGGGTGGGCTGGTTGGTGAGTTAGTGGGCATGTGGGGAGTGTGACTTGCAGCGTGATCGTTGAACACAGTTACGAATGAGACGAAACGGGCAGTGTCTGGTCGACCTAGTCCTCAGCACGGGAGGATAAATCAGTGAGTGAAGCTTACGGGAACAGTGACCATGGCAGTAGCGATAGAAGAGCGATCAGGAGAACGTAGATTTAAGGATGAAAAGTGCGGTCTTCGACGCTTGGCAGGGATGCGTGAAAATTACTGCGGGGTCACACGCATCTACATTTGCTGTCCCCTTGCTCAGTCCACTGCTGGATCAGGGCCTGCTACGCCACTTCACTCCTGTGGGATGTTTGACCATACTTCACCACGCTTGTCAGTACGGCTTGCTGACGCAAGGCATCAGGAGGGAACCAGGATCGGTTGCCATAACTTGACACCGATGTTAGCAGTGGCTGGGGACTGAACTCGGGTGGCCGAACTTAGAACGCAGTGCGTTAACAACTGCGCCCCTGCTCATCCCTGCCCAGGCAGCAATAGTCAGGGCCGTCCATGGTGGCATGGTGTGGGGGGCCGGGACAAATCCCACTGTGTTGCCCCCCCCCGCCCCCTCGACGCCTTCAAACTAAACCGGAAGTATTACAGCTGATACCGTGACCTCGAAGCGCGCCCCCCCCCCCCAAAGCGCGGGGCCCTGGGCAATCGCCCCTTTTCGCCGTACCATAGGGACGCCTCTGCATATAGTAATACAATTATGAAGCGCGGTGGCAATTACACGTGTAAATTTCCCACGCGTCACAATCTGATGAAAAAAATCCCTACGACGTCCCCTGATGGATCGGATAGACACGTGGTGCCACTGGGTGGCTGACGAAGAGATGCGCGCTCGCCTGGGTGAACGCTGATGTTAACCAATTGAACTGTAGGCATCCAAGGTCAGAACAACAAATCAAACAAATATGTAAATTTTGAGTCGCATACATGATTCTTTTCGCTTGGGTGTCTTACATTTTAACATTGTCATCATCAGCAGAAGCCATGGTCTTATCCACTGCTGTAGGAATTGTCCCATGCTGTATAAACTATACATTATATATGCGGATATGATCAGAATCCTTATTAGAGTCTTTATTTAGACTGGAAGAATCCGATGAGCTATGAAGCGCTTTTTCATACATGTCCATGCATACACGCATATGACCAGATAATCATGAATCCGCCTGATCTCGTTACACATCGGAAGCTCAGCAGGGGTCGAGCCTGGAAAGTGCTTGGAGGGGTGGCCGCCATCCCGGGGCTGTGTGGTGGGCAGCAGCAACATCCATTGTTGCACTGCACTTCTGTGGTCCCACTTGTATGCTGCCCGACTTCAATTCACCGGACCGTACTGACCAGTGTGGTGAAGTATGGTCACACAAACCCCACCATCTGCAAAGTTTATTTTTTAAAAAATACTTATATATATAAGCAAATACTTTAATTTAACAATTAAAACAAAGCAGTTGAGGTTCAGACGTGACGTCTGATCTCGCGCAGCGCAAAGTACAAACGAAACGAAACAACGTGAAAAGTAAAGGCGCAGCCCTGAAGCTGCTTGCTTATGCCACCGCTAGCGAGAAGGGGGGCCTCGGCTCGAGGAAGACACATGCAGGAATCTGCTGAAGAGGGCATTTCCCGCTCTCCTCTTCCACACTGCTCAGACTTCTCGGAAGAGGTTGGCGTACTCACACTTTACCCCACCGCACGGTGCCCCCCCCCCCCCCCCCATGTGTACTTCTGGGTCGACAGAGGCTGGGGGGCGGGGCCGGGGGGTGTAATTTAAGAAACTTGCCCAATGCGCATGTACACAGGACAACAACCCCCCCCCCCCCCCCCACGATTTTTCTAACAACATTTAAACGTAACGCCATAATGACAAAAGGCCGAAGTAATTGCCCGTGTGGCATTGGCCATGGTGCACAATGCCCCTTTGCCTTGGGGAGGGCCCCGGGTGCATCTTTGTTCATAATAAGGTCAGAGCCAGCGGTTGACCCTTCTCGAGAGACGCCTGCCCGGCCTCCCTGGACCACGCTGCCCTGCCAGCCTCCCCCCTCTCCACTGCCGCCGCAGGCTCCCTTCCCCAGGGCTCCCTCTGCGGCGGCCGTCCAGCGCTTGGTGCCGACGTCGCTGGCGCGGGTCACAGTGCAGAGCGCTGGCAACAGCGTGGATCCCCATGCAGCCTCAAAAGGGGCACCGCATTCATGGGCAAAGCGAGGAGCGCATCGAATATCTATCTGCGGCGCAAATGCAATTGTCGTCCTTCGCCCGCACCTCCTATTAGCACGGTTGGCTACGCACGGTGCGAAAAAGCTTCAACACATGTACCTACAAATCGCGATAAACAGAACAAGCGAATTAACGTACGCAAGTTCAATTCTCTCTCGTGTCTCTCTTGTCGACATCTCTCTTCTCTTATCTCACTTCATCTTTCTCTTCTGTTATCTCGCTCAGATTATCTCAATTGAAAGTAGTGGGGGGGGGGGGGGGTGGCAAAATGTATTCTGCTTCGGGGTCTCCCCGTGTGCCAGCACCATCACTGCCCTCGGTGTGATGGTCAGCAAACTCGACTTGCAATGCAGAGGTTGCCGTCTGAAGTTGAATCAATGGCACAGAGTTCTTACCCCCCTCGCACCCTCTCTGTGCACCCAGCAGAGTCAATAGGTATGTACATCACAGTCGATCGGCAGCAGTTCGTGTGTGGTGGGCTAAAGTGTGGGGGACTCCCATCTCCTCCATGACATGTGGCTTGCGGCATCTCGAGAAGGCCAACTATCCTCCAGTCGTGATCCCCAACCTTTCTGGACCCGCGGAGCAAATAAAAACCCGCAATCACCGCGCAACAATAACAACATCAACAATAACAACAACAACATGCGTCTTCGCACGTTTCACTGTGTACTCCAAAAGCGATAAAACTGTCGTTACAAATCCACGAAAGCGATTAATTCGCTTCGTATTGACTCCCGCGGATCGTCGTGCGATGGCCAATCAAAAATATACCGAGTCCAGTGAGAATAATCTCAGCGAGGAGAATCTCAGAGAGAAAAATCTCAGTGAAGAGAATCTCACTGAGAACAATCTCAGTGTCTACAGCCAGTTCCGTGGGGCGCTTCCCACGGCCGTGAGCCGGGGCTCTCGACAACGAACAACAACAACTCAACGCACCCGTCAATAACACCGTGCTCTTGTGAGAGGAGACATAATAGGCGACGTTTCGGACAATGGCCCTTCTTCAGCTCTCTCGAGCTGCCCCAGCAGTCGAGTGTGAGTAAGCACTTGGAGGGCTGCGCCTTTGGCTTTTACCTTTCTGACAGCTTTCCACGCCGGCCTCTCAATGCCCCCCTCCCCCCACTCCCCAGCAGCCCGCGCCATCGGGGATCTGATTACGGAATTGCGATCGGAGACGCGGGCTCGGGCACACGTTGCCAAGCCCGCGTACTGTGATCACAGTAATTGGCGTAGGAATAATTGGGACTCTTAACGCAATTTGACGACTCGTTTCTGGTGTAAAAGGCGCACGCGCGCGTGTGTGTGTGTGTATATATAGATAGAGAGATGGATATTGGAAAGCAATAATTAGTGACATTTTCACGACCAAAATATGTGCAACAGAAAGTAATAAAACACGTTGCAGTTGTGTGATGATCACACACGGACATAGAAAACAGAACGTCGTTTTACGTTCATTAAACAGCAATTCTGCATGCGAAGCGGACACTTGTTAATGAATTATTTAAAATAAAATAAAGCGGCGTGGATAGAGGAAAATTAGTTTTCCGGTAAATGTATAGCCTTTATAATTAAGTTAAGTACTCGGGGAAACGTTTCTGATTAAGCTGGGTTCTCAAGAGTGACGAATTGATGGTCTCAATTCTGTCACCAATGGCTGCACACGTAAAATACGTGACATGTATATTATTATTGTTATTATGATGCTTGTTTACTCAGAAATTACTCTTTTTGGATGGTGTTGCCAAGTTGTTTTTTCCAGTAGGGG